TAAAAATGACACCAGAAGAGATGAACACCACATGTGGTACTGGAGAGGCTCCTGTGCTGGAAGTGAAAAGGAGACTTGCTGGGACGACTGGCATCACGTGAATGGGGTCTGTGGCTTGGGTGGTTGGTAGTGTTGGGCCGGGGTTGATGTCCCGGTGGGGGGAGGGCTGAATGGCAGCAGTGCAGGAGAGCGTCATTGTGTTTGGTAGGACACACTGAGGACTTAAGGGTGATAGAGCAACATGTCAGAGAAAGACAGGAGGGGAAAACGGAACAAATGTAAAATGTGAACAACTGGGAAACTTGGGTGAAGAGGATGGATGTAGGAGATCTTTGTACTGCTCTTGAAATTTTCAAAATGGCTTGAAACCATTTTAACGTAAAAATAAAAGAAAAAATACAAGTCTAAAAGCATTTTTTTTATTTACAGTATAAAGGTTACAAAGGTATATATGTATTTATATATATAATATCCTTAAGTTACAAATTTTCATTGTAATGTACAATGCTGTATGTTGATGTGCAACTCAAGGGGAAGTGTTGTTTATGCATTTATATTTATAGAGTACACATAAAGCTTTTTTTAATTCTTAAGAACACAAATACTGCCCTGTTTTATGCCATAAGTTTTGATTTGGTAGTCTGGTGATACCAGAAGATTTGAAAACTAAATTTTAAACAACACTTAAAAAGAAGTCTTGTTTAAATACAGGGTTCTCAAAGAAGAAAAAACCAGAATATCACATTCTTTTAATTTCTTGTAGAAGAATTATTCTAGATTTCGAAGATTTAATACTTAACAAAAGTGAAAGTTGTGTGGAACAAAATACATACAAGGGGGTATAATCAGAATTTGCCCACAGATTAGCCAAAATAGGCCTTCATAGGTAGTGGTTTGCCACATTATCTTCTAGAAGACCTTGGGTCTGGTACCAAAAGGGAAACAGATTCTTTGGGCACCAAGGTCTTACCATGCTGAACACATCCAACAGATTGTAAACATAATATTGGAGTCTTATGCTGGAGAAAAAAATTACAAAACTAAAACCGGTTCTTGTAATCAGGGCAGACTTGCTACAGGTGTGAAGAATATCACTGAGATTGATGATTGTGCGAAACCCAAAACTTAGTTGAAATCATTTCCTCTCCCCCAAATTTTAGCAATTCACAAAACAGGTGAAAAACACAACTGATATCCTCTTGAACAGGACTAAGATAGAAGGAAAGCACTTCTGCCAATCTAGAAGGAACAGACACACGACAATACTTATGTTCTGGTTCCAGTAACATAGAATCATTAGCACCTGATTGTCAAAGGGTAGATTTAAAGGAGGAACACACTGAAGGCAGGACCTAATTTGTGTGCACTACTTAGGGACGCTCGAGAACAAAGGGGAAGGAGCCCACGTTACTATGTGCCCTCTGCCATTCCAATCACAGATGACTGAGGTACTTTCTGGGTATGATGAAGGATGCTGCCTTAAAAACTGACCCTAGTAATAAATGGAAGGCAAGATGGATGGGAGGGGGCTGTCACTGTATGAAAATTACGGAAAAATTCAACTAGCCTTCCTTGTTTCCTTTAGGTGTCCTTTTTATTGAGTTTGAGTGTCAGAGTGTTCTAGAATAAGTGGAATTTTGCTAGGTTTAAAATATCTTCATTTTGACACACCATTACAGACAAATGTTCCTTTTACCATGGATAAGGACTTTCAGCAAATGAGATGTTTAAAGGGTGTAAGTGTGGAAATGCATGCATCAGCACAATTTAGAAATAGGTGTAGATGAAATATACATTCAGTTTTGCTATTTTATAGTTTAAAAAGCATTTCTTTAAAAAGACTTTCTTGTTGATCCGCTTTGGGCAACAGAGCTTTTGTTGTTGTTGTAATTTATTCCTAGGGATATTCTACACTGTTCTTCCCAAACTAAAGTCTGATTTTTTAAAAAAGATTTTTAAGTAATCTCTACAACGAACATGGAGCTCAAACTCACAACCCCAAGATTAAGAGTCGCATGCCCCACCAACTGAGCCAAAAAGTCTAATTTTGCATTAAAAAAATTAAGCATAATAAAAAGACTGACCTACTTAAATGTGCTTGGAGTTCTTTCATGTCGGCATGCACCAAAGACCAAGCATCATGTTAAACGTTTTCCAGTCAGCCAGGGGAGCAGAACTGCAGAGGTACCTTGGTAAAAGTATGAAGTGGTTAATTACTTAACCACTGATTGATTGATAGATGGCATGGTGTAAATGAGAAATAATGGATTATGTGCTACTTGAGGGCAGGAACTTTCTTTTGGACCCTTCAGAATACCTAATAAATGCTTATTAGATGAAACAATACTTGAATTAATATGTCATTAATTAGCCTTGCAGTTTCAGAGTTCCTCCAGACCCCCAAAGAACATTTTGTCTATTCACAAGAACTTCTATCAGTTTGGAAGAGGTGACAGAGCGCTCAGGTTCCAAGGGTATAATATGTGACTGGGATAAAGAGGGACACTAAAACAAAGCATTTGTGTAAATAGCATGGAGGTAAGATAACAACAGAAATGAGGAAGGTACTAGGAATCTACCAGGGTAGCTAATCTTACAATATAATAAAGCATCATTTCTCTATTATAGCTTTTTAGTTTCAACCAATCTATTTTGGAGCAATTCAAGGATTACAGTTCGGAGGGTAGGTTTTTTTTGAATATAGCCAAATGTTCATTAGAGAGCAAGGATCATTTGCAAATGGCATTATTTATGAATCACACGAAATGTAGATTCACTTTCAAAACTTAAGTCTGCTTTGGTTCAGTCACCTGAAGTGGGAAGAATAGAGGTGGCAAGAGATTAAGCTCAAGTTTATCAGTTTTGAAACAAAAGAAGAAATCTTATTAAAATATTTTGTTGAGTTAATACATAAAAACCATTCTTCTAGTTGGTAGTTTAGCTACGGTAAAAAAAAAAAACAACAAACAATAGATGTACAGGTGTGCTCTATGAACCTATTTTTGGTACCTTATTTTAACTTGAAATTCTATCCTTTGATAGAATGAATCTGTTATCATTGATCTAACAGATCTATTTTTTTTTTAGAGAAATGGTTTCAAATCTGCCACTAAGGAGTCTATTTCCAGCATAAATTTCACTTATCATTACGTGATAGGAGTAGCTATAGTGCTCAAAAACACATAATCCTGATACACAACATAATTATTTTATAATTGTCTGCCATCACACATTTATTGTCTATATACTCAGTACAGGGAAGGAGACAGCTTTAAAAAAGGAGGGAGGGGAGAGACTGCTGCTGTCAGTTTTTAGACAGTATGTAGAAAGTAAAAGAATTCTAGATTACCAAGCAATCTTGGGAGAGAGAGAGAACAGTAGCAAATGGCAGATTCCTCTGCTTTCATCTTCAGGAGGGGGAATAAAAAAGCCACAATAACAATTTAAATTTAACTGAGATTTCCAAACTTAAGACAGAATATAATATAATACCACCTGGTACATTATAGACCTGATAGAGATATACATACAAAAAGAGTGAATATGATTATGGTCAAATTCAACTTAAACTTAAAGTTTAAGGAGAATCCCAAATTTTCTTTTCTTTTTTTTTTTTTAAGATTTTATTTATTTATTTGACAGAGACACAGCGAGAGAAGGAACACAAGCAGGGGGAGTGGGAGAGGGAGAAGCAGGCTCTCTGCTGAGCAGGGAGCCCGACATGGGGCTCCAACTCAGGACCCTGGGATCATGACCTGAGCAGACGTTTAAGGACTGAGCCCCCAGGCGCCCCTAGCGGAATCCCAAATTTAAAGAACTCTCTTTTCCTTACATAGATACTTGATCTGACTAGAGCAATCTGCTTTGAGACCAAAGAGACCTGGCATTTTACTTCTTCATTAGTAATTGAAAAAAGATGACCTTTGGCTTTCTACCCAGCCATTCATTCAGGGTGTCAATGATGGATGGCAGTGACAGGGAAATGTATGCTGGATATTTGGATAGTTTCAATATTATGTACAATCAATAGCTTATAACCAGTGAAAATAATAAGAACAAAGTTCAGCGTAAGTGTCCAAGATAAGATACAAAAAAGCAGAGAAAGTGCTTAAGTCTACAGGTCTTCCCTGAAATCTTCAAAAATGTTTAACTTTTAAGTAGATAGGGCTTTTAATAGAATTTGCATAGCAGCTTACAGTATAATTTGCATTAAAAACATGGAGATTCTTCCATGTTTTTGAAAACATACAAATATAACCACATGCACATAAATTAAACAAGAAGACCTGGAGGTTCTCACAAAATTAAAAAAAAAAAAATCCATTGTAACCTTTTCTCAGAAGTGGTCACACTTTTGTCCATCAAAACCATTTACAGTGAAAACTTTTTCTGGGAGAAACATAATCTTGTCCAGATTCCACACAGTTTAATTTTTTTTAAGAATAAATTTTGGTTTATTAGCTAAGTGCATTTAATCAGCTGAAAAAAGCTTTGTTACCATTCTGCTTAGGAAGATAAATTAGGAAAACAATCAGTGACAACTTTAATCATTTGTTGGTTAGATTTTTCCACTTATAAAAATATAAGAAATAAATAATTCAATCTCTCCTGCCATCCAATAATGTTCCATAACAACGTTTGTGAGGGTACAGCTGATAAAAACAGGCACTATCAGACTTTACCTAGCCCAAAAAGTGCTAAAACACGGCTTTAAAAGAGGTGAATGACATTTAAAGTAATATTTTTGATTGCTTGTACATGTCCCAATGTTTAATCTGTAACTGTCTACTAGGTAGGTGAGTTTACAGTTATAAGTATCTAATAAATACTGTATAAACATACATTAAAGTATTTCTTCATATAAAATATTAGATATTAATTTCCAGGTAAGGTTTGTTTGATAAATTCATGAAAGGGCTTACCTTTTTCAGAAAAAGAATAACTGAGCCTTTTCTTTCTTTCTTTCTTTTTCTTTCTTTCTTTCATTGGTTCTTTCTTTCGAGAGGAAAGGGAGAAATTTTAGGGAATGAGGAGGAAGAATTTTCACATGCCAATTGGCTACTTGTAGACATCTGTGTGGAATATGGAAAGATGTCTAAGCCCCAGGTCTGGGGGGTAACTGAGGGCACAGGAATTGGGTCCATTGGGATGAGGTGGATACTACTCTGCAGCTTCTTTTCCATTCTATACATGGAAGCCCACAACATTCTCAGCAATTTTCCTAATTCAAAATGAAAAAGAAATGACAAGTTAAGCTGTTCTATAAAAGGTGTGAAATACCCCAAATGCCCATTTTTAGTTAAAATAATTTGCCATATTTTGGCATCTTAATACAAAATACATATTTATCAAGGCTGTCCTATTCATAAAAAGCACTTCATTTGTGGTTTGAAAACTCCATAAACACACTTAATTGAAGAACAAGCTGGTCACCCATGATTGGAAAGCTGTTGATGTTACACAAGCAGCTTAAGGGCTCTTGCTCTTGGGGGTGCTAGTGGTCAAAGGAAATCTCCCACACATTTTCATTTCACATTAAGACTCAAAAGATTTAAAAAACCAAGCTTGAACAAAATGAGCCAAAATGGCTCACACACTTTACCTTCTCCTGCTCACATGTTTATCACACCTTTTTTTAGAGATCTTTTTCATGTAACTGATGAGCACGGGGGCTCAGAAGTTCTGCCTGAAAAAATTCTCAGTGGCTTAGCCTTTCACACTAACCAAGAAAACCTCAACCACATGGCTTTGTTGCAAAATCTGTGACTGCATTGTGCAACTTTTCAGGTTAATAATGCTCTCACTGCAAAGAGTGTCTAAGCTCCCTTATCTGAGGGTATTAGGTGTTGAAATTCTGCTTCCAGAAATCACAGCTGGACCTTCAAGATATTTTTTTTCTTCCCTTGCAAATTTACTTCAGATGAAACCAAACATAGGTTTATGAATCTTTAAAACATAAAAAAAGTTCTTGAAAGACATATTCTAGTCTAGATTCCAATTTCCAGTTTTAAGTGAATCAAGTCATTTATTTTTGGAACTGTAGCTGGGGGAAGAACAGTTATCAGTTATCTCTCCCCAGCCCCTGCATGTGGTTAATCTCACTGTACAAAGGGAAGGAGGACTGACTTATGGGCAGAAGAAAGACAGTGGGGTTACAATGTCTAACTCAAACTCTCTGCTCATGAGTCTGCTCTTTCAAATGTCCCACCTAGGTCAGTCTGCACTCACACCAAACAGCTCATGTTTTGTATTTATGGTTGTGGGGTTTTTCCTCCCTATATGGAGTGCTACCCTCCTCCACTCTCTGAAGTGCTCACATCCTCTTATAGTACTCCTAATAAATCTAGTAAGTGAGAACTATTCCTAGACTTTTCTTCAGAGAACATTCAAGTCAATATTCCCTTTTCTTTCAGATCTGGGGACTGCAGTAATCTTGACATTTTATATAGCTATTATCCTATTTTAAATGTTTTCAGATATACACCTCCTTCATAATTAGGAAAAACAAGCTGAGTGTGATTCTTTGATACCACAAAATCAGCAATCTTACTGCTACTAAGTCATAATGATGACATCTGGCAATGCTTAGCAAAATCCAGGTAGCTGTTCCGTGGTCTCGTCACCCGCCCACTGTAGAATGCATTACTAAGCCAACAGTGAGTCTTGAATTAGCAGCTGCCTATCCATGCCACTCTGCTGCCACAAAGGGAGAGGACAAAAGGGCCAGGATCCAGCATGGGCCCACAAAGCCCAAGGCAACTCCACCGGCTGTTTGTGCTGAAGAGCTGGCCTTACAGAGCCTACTCTTTAAACAAGTGGGCTCTCCAAGATTTATCTTCCTCAATGAGATCTGCCCACTAGAAAAGATACTCCTAAGGAAACCCATCTCAAAGACTATTCCTCAAAACTAAGATGGATGCTCTCCCTGGAACGGCAGTGATATCCAGTTATTCAAATAGTGACTAATAAAGCTCCACTAACCCTAACCAAAGGCACATTTGGTAAGCAATAAAAAATGGCTTAGGCTAAAATGAGGATTTTCTTTTAAAAGAAATCTTATCACCTGGCTCCTACCAAAGATAAATCAGAAAAATCTAAAACAAGCAAACCTCTTCTTTCAAATCAGTGGTTTCCAACTTGGTCGCCACTAGAAAGGGAGTGGAAGGCAAGGCAAATCAAATTTCACAAGTTCTAAGTCCTAAAGTTAGCACTTATGAGTGGCAAAGCTCGTGATGCGGTAGGAAAGTGATAGCCAGGGTGGGATGCAGGAGAGCCAGGACAGATGGGAGAACGCTTTGGTGTGCAATTCAAGGACTTCCTAGGGTGGAAGGATTATGTGACAGTAAGCTCCAAAACCACATCCGACCTATCTAGAATGGCCAAGCACAGGTGGCTGTAAACTAGCATGTGGCAAGAGATGGTTGAACTAAGCAAGATGTCAAGGCTAAGCTTGGAACAAATCCTGTAGGAAGAAGAAAATGAAAACAACTCTTGGATATTTGATTATGTCCAAAAAAATTGGATATTTGATTATGTCCAAAAAAACCCACAACGAGCCATCCTTCTTCATAGGGGAAATAAACCTAGTGACTTAGAAACCACATTAGGAAATGAGGCAATAAATCAACAGCTTCGTTTGGAACTTATTAGAGTCCTAGAATTTCTGGCCAAGGTAGCTTGTGAAAGGCAGGCTCTTCTTTAAACACGGTTACTGGTCAGCAGTGATCTGCAGGTCCTTGTCAAGGCACTGTGCTGGAGGGGAGAGCAAAGAGCTTTCTTTTTGTGCTTTTTTTTTTTTTTTTTTGAGGTGGAAATACTTCTTGTGACATTCATGACTCTTTTCTGATTTTGTGCTGCTCATACGAGCAGTCCCATGCGAGTGACTTTGGCTGACAAGAACGTGTGCAATACAAAAACGATCGGCTTCGGACAAGAGTGAAGGTCCATGGTCTGTGGGGAAAGCATAAGAATTATCACTACCATACACAGAAGCTTTCATAAACAGACACAAAATAAACAAATTTGGATGTGATGTTCTACTTTTTAGAAAGAATGTGTATTAAGAAGGTGCCGGATTTATGGAAACGTCTCTCGGGAACTTAAAGCTACAAATGCAAAGTATTCTCTGAAGTAAGGTCATTCCATGTAGTAATGACACACTAGTGTGAGCCTCCATGTCACAGTTAGGAGAAAAGTGGTGGGGTGCTGGATTCCACCGTGCCTGGTAGGGAGAACTAAACAGTAGAAGATGGAAAAGAAAGAGGAATACCCTATATGGAGACCGTTAATTATGATTATATTCCCAGCGGGGGATCACAGTGAACTCAGCTGAATGTGACTATGGATGGGTATGATTTTTGGTATCTTTCATAGGTTTGTGGTGGGAATGACAACTCCTGAGGCTAGTTAGGAGGGCTAGTCATAGCTTCCTAAGCTCAGGCCTCTATCTGGACAGCTGACACCAGGTGAACAAGGAGACCTGCCATCAGGCTGCGTGAGTCAAGTGATTCGTCAGTCATTGGCACTGATGCAGAAACCAGGAATAGGACATAGTTAACTATGCCTTTTAAAGAAAAATATAACTTTATTCAAAATATAAGTTACAGAGCACGAATTTCATCATTAAACTTTGTATATATTAAGTATAAAGCAGGGATTAAAACTATATAGCCAGGAATAATCTAAGACATAGCTTGCTAAATGACAACTGCTATTAGTAACTGGTTAATTTAACAGAAGTTAATTTAATAGAAGCATTTAACTCTGCCTAATGCTTCAGGCTTTTTTTTTAAATATGCACATATCTTTATTTCCCAGCAAGGTCAAATATACCAGAGATATAGATACAATGCTTAAATCCAAATGATTTTAAAGTGCTTATTGGATTCTTGAGGCCCTTAAAACACTCCCTGATCTAATCAAAGACCTTTGGGTGGGAAATCAGTGATTTGATGCTTCAGAGTATACTTCCTTCTGGCCTTCTGAGGAATGTGTTTCCCATTTCTTTTTTTTTTTAATTTAAATTCAATTAATTAACATATAGTTTATTATTAGTTTCAGAGGTAGAGTTCAGTGATTCATCAGTCTTATATAATACCCAGTGCTCATCACATCACATGCTCTCCCCAATGTCCATCACCCCGCTACCCCATCCCCCCACCCATCTTCCCTCCAGCAACCCTGTTTCCCATGATTAAGACTGTCTTAGGGTTTGTCTCCCGCCTGACTTTGTCTTGTCTTATTTTTCCCTCCCTTCCCCCATGATCCTCTGTTTTGTTTCTTAAATTCCACATATGAGTGAGATCATATGGTAATTGTCTTTCTCTGATTGACTTAATTCGCTTAGCATAATACCCTCTAGTTCCATCCACGTCCTTGCAAATGGGTGCTTCAGGCTTTTGAAAAGCTCTGGTCCATGGCCCAACCAAAGTCTCCTAAAGGTTCTTCATTCAAAATAAGATTTCTAGACATGATTTCTTATTTGGACGTTAATATCTCTCAGATCTCTTTCAGTAATAAAATGTCAAGATTCTGTTTTGCAAATTTCCACCTATGGTGATTGTGTCAATAGACAAAATATTTCATGTATAATACTTGAACTATTGGCTCAAAACTGATAAGACAGAAAAGGCATTATTTTACTCCTTTATCTATCATAATTTATGATTTCTGAAGTACACCTGACACACTTCTGTGGCTCCCTAGGGGAAATCATGAATTCCTGCTGATCTTTCCTTAAAAAACAAGGAGATTAAAAAAAAAAAAAAAAAAAAAAGATGGCTGTGTGAAGATAGCTCTGTATCTTTTTTTTCTGATCAGCAGAATTTCTGTAGTAACCAAGTCATTCTATCACTTTTAACTCATCTCAACCAACTATTAATAGTAATGGATAGAATTTATTTATTAAAGTTTACCAGCTTTTGTATTTTATAGCTTATATTTGATAAAAGCCTATTTCTTAAAAGGGCTATCCATTTTTTCTTTCTACCATTCAAACAAAACTTTTTAAAAAGGAATGAGTTCCTAATGTGGGGAAAAGAAAAACACATACACACATACATCCCAAACCCCATCCCAATACATCTTGAAAACCGAAGAACAATTTCCTGACTCCAAATGGACTATTAGTCCATAATTTTCTATACAAAAGGTAAGAAGCAATGAGAAAGAAAGAAAATACCTATTAGAGTAAACCTGGTGCCCAGAAACACTCTTACCAGTTCTCCCTCAGGACCACCAAAATCCAGATACAGATTTCTGATGCCATCATCAGCAGACATTTTCAGCCTTTCAAAGGGGTAGCGATACAATATGCTGCTGGAACCTCCATTTTCCTTGGAGATAGTGAACCCATTTTCATAGTGGACAGTGAATCTTACCTCTTGGCCATTTAGCGTGCAGCCTATTGGAGACAAGCAAAAACCATCATTAATGGCACCTGGGTGGCTCAGTCAGTTAAGCGACTGCCTTTGGCTCAGGTCATGATCCCGGGGTCCTGGAATCGAGCCCCACATCTGGCTTCCTGCTCAGGAGGGAGTCTGCTTCTCCCCCTCCCCCCTGCTCATGCTCTCTCTCTTTCGAATAAATAAACAAAATCTTAAAAAAAAATAAAATAAAAAATAAAGTTACCACTGCAGTTATCAAGTGGAAAAGGATTCTTCTGACTTCAACAAAGGAAAAAGAACCTTTTCTTGAGAATGTGTGATACCTAACTTATTTGGACCTCCCTAAAGTAAGTTTTGTTCTGGTTGCTTCGGTCAACATCTTGACTGAGATGAGAAAGAGATGACAATAGCTCTCCAAGACATCTGATCTGATTCAGTTCAATTCAATGAGTATCAATTAAACACTTGTGCTGAGAGTAGGCTGTGCGTGGTATTGGAGAGGTAAGAGGCATGGTCCCCGCTCTCGAGGACTTTATAAATGAACAGGCATAAACATGAAATCCCTAACCGTGTTAGGTAGAATGTATAGAGCACGACTAAACACACTAGCGTGAATAAGGCCAAAATCAAGGAAAAGTTTCCTGGAGGAGATGGTACATCAGATAGGCCCTAAAGAATAGGTCAAACTGGATAGGCAGTGAAGTAGAGAAAGGTTTCAAGTGGGCAAGAAGAAAGAACTACCAAAGGAGAGAAGGCAGAGATGCCTTTTAGGGGCAGTCACACGGTTTGGTTGGTATTTGGGAAGAGGATAAAGGTAATGTTTATTATCAAAGGTAAAGGCTATAGTTAGCAAAAGTCATACTATCATTCCTATCAAAGATAAAATTCAAAGGATTGATCTGAATTGACAGGGAAAAAAATGTGATCATCAAGACTGACACACGTCTTTTCTCAAGACTGGTGAAGTTTCTGTTCCACTAACATCTGAGCACAGTTTTGTTGTTAGTACAGGGGCTACAAGTTTGAGGCCCTCTGACACCCGGGAATTAACAAAGCCCTTTGAGAGATAACTTCAAATCACCTAAAAGAGTCACGCTATGCTTGGTCACTAAAAGTAGCTTCCAAACAAGCAAATCCTCCAGACCAATCAGTGTATTCTTTCACTGCACTTGCAAAAACATTCAATTAGTTAAGACAGCTTTGTGTTTAAGAAATAAGGAAAGGGGAGCCTGGATGGCTCAGTCATTAAGTGTCTGCCTTCGGCTCAGGTCATGATCCCAGGGACCTGGGATTGAGCCCCACATCGGGCTCCCTGCTCAGTGGGAGGCCTGCTTCTCCTTCTCCCACTCCCCCTGCTTGTGTTCCTGCTCTCGCTATCTCTGTCAAGTAAATAAATAAAATCTTAAAAAAAAAAAAAAAGAAAGAAGGAAAAAGAATAACAGACAAATATTGGCAGCGCTACTCAAAGAAGAGAATTTTGGAAAAAAGACTTTGAATATTAGTTATTCTCAGAAAAAAACCCACGGGGGGAAACATGGATAAAACTAACTACCTGTAGAAAGTAATTCAACGCAATCATCTTAGAATAAATGGCTAAGGGTTTGGAGGAAGAACAGACAGATCCCAATCAAAGCAAGTAGGGTACAGTTTTATTCTGTTAACATCCCTGAAGCTATAGTGTAGTCAAGGGTAGTAAGATCTGACGAGAAGAGAGGGGTCACTTCTAGTCTAGAAAATAGAAGCTCAAAGAACAAGGATCTGCTCAAATTCTTGAAGCACTGGCTACAGAAGGTGCCATGAAGGTGGGTGAGTATTTCTGCCTGCAGGTGTGTCATTAGTGGGGCAAGAACAGGTGACTGCAGCTAGCAAAGGCAAGCCATTAACCCCTGATTCAACTAAAATCCTTTCGTGGGCCTGGGTGGCTCAGTTGGTTAAGCAACTGCCTTCAGCTCAGGTCGTAATCCTGGAGTCCCTGGATCGAGTCCCGCGTCGGGCTCCCCGCTCAGCAGGGAGTCTGCTTCTCCCTCTGACCCTCTCCCCTCTCATGCTCTCTCTCACTCTCTCTCAAATAAATAAATAAAATCTTAAAATAAATAAATTATCTGCTCTCACAGGGCAGCAGGGATGACAGATGGGTCATCAGAAACAATCTACACTGGAGAAATCATTGTTTTGTTTTTAAGATTTATTTATTTTAGAGGAAGAGAGAGCAGGGGGAGGGGCAGAGGGAGAGGGAGACAAAGAATCTCAAGCAGACTCCCCCCGTTGAGCGTGAAGCCCAACATGGGGCTCAGTCTCAAGACCCTGAGAGCATGACCTGAGCTGAAACCAAGAGTTGGACACTCAACCCACTGAGCCACCCAGGCGCCCCGAGAAACCATTGTTTTGAGCACTTATAATGTGCCAGACACATAGTTACATGTTATATTATGTGTTAGGTTCTGGGAGATACAGAGTTAAATAAAAGATGGTTCCTATTCAGACAAGAGAGAGAGAAAGAAAAGGAAATATGGATACAGAAGAATGAACTAGGTCCTATACTAGGGAAACGGACAAGACACTATGGGAAGATAGAGGAGAGGGAGGAGACTAATTCTGGGGAACTGAAAAACTGAAAAATTAGAGGTGCTAATTCTCTGGGGCTAAGTAACAATGACAAGTATAACCATGGCCACTTTGTTGAGGGTATACTATACACCAGAATTAGTTAATCATGACATTTTAACTCATCTAAAAATCTAATAAGCTTTCAGGGTTTTTTGGAAAATTTTATTACCAAGTAATATATAAAACAGACACCCTCATCTCTTCTCTAAGTTCATCTCATCCCTGAGACTTCATTCATAACCCACCCACGACCTGGAATAGGGGTCAGGGACAAGGTGGTGATCAGGGATGGGGTGAAAGGAGGTGGGGGGAAGGCTGCCATGCACAGCAACCGCCTAAAACAAGGAATCTCCAGTTTACCACATGTACTCTCATCCAAACTCAATCATTCTGAACAAAGTTCTCTGAGAAGAATATCCCTGTATCATTAATAATCTGCATTATAAAATTCTCTGACTTCATGTTTAAGGTTTAATTATTACACTCAATTATTTTTTCTTTCTTTCATTCTTTCTTTCTTTCTTTTTAGAGAGAGTCTGGGTTCATGTGGGGGAGAAGGGGCAGAGGGAGAGGGAGAGAGAGAGAATCTTAAGCAGACCCACACCCAGCATGGAACCCATCATAGGGTTCGATCTCACGACCCATATCACGACCTGAGCCGAAATCGAGAGTCAGACGCTCAGGGCGCTTGGGGCTCAGTCAGTTAAACATCTGCCTTTGGCTCAGGTCATGATCTCAGGGTCCTGGGATGGAGCCCTGTGTTGGGCTCCCTGCTCAGAGGGAAGTCGGCTTCTCCCTCTCCCTCTGCCACTCCCAACTTATGTGTGCACTCTTTCTCTTTCAAATAAATAAAATCTTAAAAACAAATCAGACGAGCAACTGACTAAGCCACCCAGGTGCCCCTCAACATTTCCCTTTAAACTAGATCTCCCCCATTAATGTTTTTAGATGTTCAAATCTCTCCTTATTAGAAGAAGTGCCATTACTCAATTCCTCACCTTCCCTCTCTCTCTCTCTTTTT